GGGGGAAAAAAAGGAGGAGGGTTGGCAATAGACGTTAGCTCAGTGCCGGTCTTCCTCAGCAAAAAAAGAGGAAGATTGGCCTGGATGTTAGCTCAGGGCTGGTCTTCCTTACAAAAAAAAAAAAAAGAAGTACAGATAGTTCTTGACTTAACTGTGGTTCAACTTAACAATCTTCCAACCTTACTGTGGTGTGGGAGCTATAGCCATTCAGTAGAAACTGTACTTGGAAATTTGAACTTTGATCTTCTCCCGGTAGCGATACATGGTACGAGACTCTCTCATGATGCTGGGCAGTGGCAGCAAGCTACAGCTCCCAGTCAGCCCCGTGATCACGAGGGTAAAAAACCAATACACTTACAACCATTCTATACCCAGAGAACCATTCTGTTTTTCACAGTCAGTACAGTATTCGACAAACTACATGAGATATTCAACACTTTATTATAAAATCGGCTTTGTGTTAGATGATTTTGCCCAACTGTGGGTTAATGTGAGTGTTCTGAGCATGCTGAAGGTAGGCTAGGGTAAGCTATGATGTTCAGTAGGTTAAGTGTATTAAATGCATTTTTGGCTTACAATATTTCCAACTTCTGATGGGTTTATTGGGATGTAACCCCATCGTGAGTGGAGGAAGATCTGTAGTGAGAAAATCAAATGCTGGCGAGGATGGGAAGAAACTGGATTGCTCATATATTCCTGTTGGAATATAAAATAATACAGCCACTCTGGAAAAAGAGTATGGTAGTTTCTTATACAATTAAAACCGGTGCTTAGAATACAATCCAGCAATCATATTCTTTGGCAATTTATCTCAAAATAAAAAAAAATTTTTTTAATTTTTTTAATTGAAATGTAATATGCATATAGTAAAATGCCTGAAGTATACTTATCTCGAGTTTTTGCATGTGACCACCAGTCAGGACGTTGCCAGAACCCCTGGAATGTTCCCTAGTGCTTCTTCTCAGTCAGTACCTATGGTACTATGGATTAGTTTCGACTCTTCTTGAACTCGATATAAATGGAGTCATACAGTATGTAGTAGTAGCAGAACACTGTTCTTTTCTCTTGCTCTATAGTATTTCATCACACGAATATGCCACAATTTACCCACTTTACTGTCGATAGGAATTTGAGATTTGCAGTTTGGGACATTATGAATAAAGTGACTAGTAACATTCTTGTACATATCTTTTGGGTTCACAGGCACTTCTTTCTCTTGGGTATATGCCTCAAAGGAGAATTTCTGGGTCATAGAGAAGACATATGTTTAGCTTTATATACTGCTAAACAGTTTTCCAAGTGGTTGTACCAATTTATACTTCCACCAGCAGTGTATGAGAGTTCCAGTTGCTCCACATTCTCACCAACACTTGGTATTGTCTGTTGTTAGAGTTTCTTTTCTTCCTTCCTTCCTTCCTTCCTGCCTTCCTTCCTTCCTTCCCTCCTTCCTTTCTTTCTTTTTCACTTTAGCCATTCTGCTGGGAATGTGAAGCTATCTTATTGTGGTTTTTATTTGCATTTCTCAAAGGAGTAGTGATACTGAGCACATTTGCACCTTTTCATTATGTGTTGGTTATTTGACTATCTTCTTCTATGAAGTGCCTAATCGAGTCTTTTGCCTATATAAAAAAAAAATTAGGTTGTTTGTCATTTTCATTTTGACTTGTAAGAGTTTTTACTCTATTCTGTCTGTGAGTTCTTTATCTAAGAGAGGTGTCTCTGACCTGTTTCTGGCTATGGGCACTCCTGCTCACGTCTACCCGGCTCCTCGCAACTTCTGATCACAGCTGATGGTGATTCTATTTGCAAACACCTTGGGCTTAAGTTTCCGAATCCTGCTCCAGTCACCAACCATCCTCCCATACCTCCATCCATATCTCCCACGCACGCCAGCACACTGCCCCTGGTCAAATTCTGGGCCAGCCACAGGATACAAAATGTCTCCCTCATTTATCCCTTCAATTCTAACCTCTTTCTCAGGAGCAGGAAGATTTCCTCCTCCCTGAAACTGAGGCAAGATGAAGAGGGGAGATAAATGTATTCAAGCAGATGCATGATAATGTCACTCTGGATAAAAGATGTCAGACTATACTTCGCCTGTGGTCACATACACACAAAAGCATCGACCTTAATCAGCAAGTGTTTGTATCAACCACCTCTTCTGCATGCGGCTCAGTGCTGGGCACTGTGGAAAATTTGCAAAGAAGGAATGGCCATGGGTCCAGCTGTTGAGAAACTTACAATCTAGTTGGAAAGAAAAGACGTAACACAGGTTACACGATATAATAAAATAGTGTATGTTAGTATATAAATAAGTTCAGAATCAAAGAGTTTTAAAACTGGGCGTGCAAGACCATACATGCTAATTCAGGCTGGACCCGGAGGGGAAGTTTTTAGAGCACTTCCTTGAGATATTCTCTCTTTCCTCTTTTCAGCATGGTGGGGGGCGGGCAGGGGTTTCTTGGACAGCTTTCTTTCACATAGGAGATACTCAATGCATATTTGCCAGCTTGACTGAGGTTTGGGTTGAAGAAATAGATAGCTACATAGCTCCCATCAGCTGAACACCTACCAAGTGCCAGGCACATGAGAAATCACGTTTAATTGTTGCAACAATCCTGAGAAGGAAATGTTATTATTCCTATTTTACAGGTGGGGGAACTGAGGCTCAGACAAATGGTAGATAAAATTGCCCAAGGTCACGTGGTTGGCGTCTGATGGAGATGTGATTCAAACCCAGCTGTGGCATGCTAGGATGCTTGTTGGTTGCTGTGAGACACTGCCATTGCCTGTTGCTTGGAGAAAGGGAGGGCATAGTGTGCCTGGACACTCATGATGCCAGAGGTTAAAGCCCAGGCACTGGGGTACCAGATCTGTGAGGCAGCACCCAGAGACAGAAAGGGGCCCTGGAGGCTTTTCTCCTGAGCTCTCTGCCAGCCTGGTTGTACCCTTCAAGGGAAAGCCTAAGGCTGCCTGATTGGTGGCTTCAGAAAGCAAGGCAGCAGCAAGAGGGAAGCAAATTAAGTAGGAAAAAGTAACGCAGCCAGGCCGTCAGTCAGTCTCTGTCCCTGTAACATCCCCCAATCACACGCCGGATCTCTCACGTGCCCAACTTAGCTGGAAGTTCATCTGCCCCTATGAAACCCCCATCTCCCCACATCCACCTTGTCCATCCAGAATGTCCTGGGCATGCTACACTCTAGGGACGTGGAGAGTGGAGCTGTGGCTGCCATGTTGGCGTGGATCGATGGGGGTAGTGTGGCACGCCGTCCTGCTTCCTCTTGTCTTACTGTTCTGAAACAGGAATTGAGACGTCAGCCCTTCGAGTTGGAGACTGCCAACCCCCAGAGAGTGGGACAGCCTGGGAGGCCCTGCCTACCTGACTTTCTGGGCCACTGCCCAGACCTCAGGAGGAATCTTCAATGTCAGGCTCTAGAGAAAGCCTTTGCCAGGGCCCAAGAATGCCATCAGGATGACTAGGTCATGGTGGGCACTGGAGGTTATGGCCGTTCGAGCCTTGAGCCATTGTCTTCTCTACTCCGTGCACAACTCTGAAAGAGGCAGTTCACTGACTCTGTTTTTGTTCCCTGTGTGGTAATTTGTTTAGTGGTCAGACCTCCAATGGGCCATACTGACAGATCTCCCTCCTGGAGCTTCCGGAAGAAGAATCAGAGCTCTTTGTTCCTTCTCCCAGGAACAGTCCCTCCCCAGTGCCCTCTTTAACCAGGGCCACTGAAAACTAAAGCCCAGGGTAAAGAGGCCCAAGTTTACCCAATGGTAACCTCTATGGAGGTCCCCCAATGACCATCTTTGTCAAGGCCTTTGTAGGGACTCTGGGTCCCCTTCACAGAGACATCATGACACAGGCATGACTGGATGCATCAGAAAAGAGGAAAGGTTGCTCAAAAGGGGAATTAAAGATGTGAAAGGAGCACTGTCTGGACAGCAGTGAAGAGGGAGGGGGAGGCACTGGAGCAGGAAGTGGGGGGCTCACTGGGGAGACACCCTGGAGGGGGAAATGCTGCAGAGCTAAGCACAGGACGAAAGAGGCTGGTCAGGGGCCCCGGAAGACACAGCCTTCTGTGGATCCACCGCAGCGCTGTCTTCAGTGACCCCGGGTAAGTCTGGTCTGCAAAGGTAAAAGAAAACAAGATTATCAGATGAAAACTTTGAACCCGTGTTTCAATGACAAGAAAACTACCAGGGGGGTGGGGAGAGTTGGGGGAGAGTAACAGCAAAAATGAAGGCCAGAAAACAGAACAAAATACCACCCTCCCCTTCACTCCCCCTCAAGAAAACCCACAGAGGGAAAAGGAAGACAGCAACGAGACTAGAAAGTCCAGAAAAGGGAAGTATGAATTGGGTGCATGATGCCTCAGCCGAAGGCACAAACCAGAGGTTTGAACTTCTGTTTGTGCCACATGAGCCAGAGCCCCCCTGAGGTGGCAGTGGGGCAGAGCCCGTGCCTGGCTCCAGAGGAGAACCAGCTCATGGTGGTCTTGTGTGCGAGCACATCTCCACAGCAAGGGAACTCCCCTGCAACCAGGGCATTGGGCCCCAGCTCATTGGGCAAAGGGCAGGCTAAGTCAAAGCTCGCTTCTGCCCAAACCAAAGGTTTGTGGAAACTCAGATGTAAAACTTGTTGTGTTATCAGATCCTTTTGCCCTTGCAGATTTAAGATGAAAGAGATGCAGACATTTTCCCTGTACATATGTGGCCTGTAGGTACCCTGCAGTGCTGTGTGAGTCAATGTTCAACAACCCACTCTCCGGGAGGAAAAAACAAAACAGGCACTGACGTGTAGCGATTGTTGATTTCCATTTTCCCTGGTGTAAGACCCCCATGGCTGAGCTCAAGCTGCCAGCTTAACATCACTGAAGGTGGAGCTGGTTGCCTGCATCTCCTGCAGGGTTTCCATAATCACAATAAGAGCGTTTGCTGAGTTCACACTATGTTCTTAATGCTTTATGTGCATTATGTGTATTGTTTTATTAATGCTCATAAATGTGAAAAGTGAGGTTCAGAAAAATAGTTGACTTACCCTGGGTCAGTAGCTACTAATTGGTGGAACCAGGAGTTTAAAATAACTTAAATATACTGGTCTTCCCTAGATTAGTGGTTCTCAAACTTTTCAATCTCAGGAATTTTTATACTCCATAATCGAAGACCCCAAAGAGCTTTTGTATATGTGGATTACTAATATTTACTGTAGTAGAAATTAAAACTGAGAATTTCAGGGACTGGCCCAGTGGTGTAGTGGTTAAGTTCATACATTCCTCTTTGGCGGCCTGGGGTTTGCTGGTTTGAATCCCAGGCGCGGACATACACACCACTCATCAAACCATGCTGAGGAGGCGTCCCACATACAAAATAGGGGAAGACTGGCACAGATGTTAGCTCAGGGCTAATCTTCCTCAAGCAAAAGAGGACGATTGGCAACAGATGTTAGCTCAGGGCCAGTCTTCCACACCAAAAAAAAAAAAAACAAAAACAAAAAAAACTGAGAACTTCAAAAAATTCAGTAATTCACTTAAAATAACAGTAATAAAACTGTTACATGTTAACATAAATAATACTTTCATGAAAATAATTATATTTTCCAAAATGAAAAAAGTTTAGTGGGAAGAGCGGTGTTGTTTTTGCGTTTTTGCAAACCTCTAATGCATGACTTAATGGGAGTCAGCTGGATCCCCAGAGCTGCTCCTGCATCCAGTCTGTTGTGAGATATCCCTTTGATTGAAGACGTGAAGGAAAACCAGCCTCACGCAGATACGTAGTTGGAAAAGGAAAGACATTGGGGACCCCTTGGATGGGTTTTGGGGACCTACAGGGGTCCTTAAACTTCTAGACAGATAATAGTTGTTCTCGGTACAAAAGTCAAGTGGTAAAAAATAACATCCAGTGAAAAATAAGTCTTTGTCTCTCCCATAGCCTCCCAGTTTTCTCACCAGAGACTGCAAGTATGAGCAGTGAATCGTGCCTCCTTCCAGAGACGCGGCACCATCACAACCAGCGCCTCCCCAGGTCACCTGCCTGCAGCGTCCTGTACACGGCAGGCTGCCTTTCGTATCAACACAGAAGTCTGCATAGTATTCTGTGGACCTAAGCCAGTCCCCATACCATAGGGAACAGCCTTGTAACCTCTATCTTCTGCAACATGTATAAATATTTGTAAGATAAATTCCTAGAAGTGGAATTAGAACAAAAGATGCACATATATTGACTTCTGATAGACATGGCCAGACAGCCCTCCGTGGAGGGGGACCCGATTTCCACTCCTACCCATAATGGGTGGGCACCTCTTTTTCTCCGCAGCCTCACCAACTCAGCGTGGGAACCAGACGTGAGGTCAGGGTTCTGACTTCAAGACCCAGGGCATCCCCACTAAGCCTTAGGGTGGGTCTCAGAAGTCGCCACCTATCTGGGCAGCCCAGCAAGTGTGCTCCCTACATCCAATAACCAATCAACCAATGTTTACTGAACATCTACACTCTGAAAGGCGCTGGGGTGTGTCGAGCTGTTTGTCCTGCAGCGTCATTCATCCATCTCCTGCCCCTGGTCCTCTGGCAGACTCCAACTCCTCTCTAGTCCTGGATTAAGTGTAAACATCTCTGCAAAGCACTTTTGGCTCCACCCACCTTCCTCTGTGCCTCTCTTGAACTCTACATAGATTTATTTTTATTTTTATTTTTTTGTGTGTGAGGAAGATCAACCCTGAGCTAACATCCATGCCAACCCTCCTCTTTTTGCTGAGGAAGACCGGCCCTGAGCTAACGTCTATTGCCAACCCCCCTCCCTTTTTTTCCCTTTTTCTCCCCAAAGCCCCAGTAGATAGTTGTATGTCATAGTTGCACATCCTTCTAGTTGCTGTATGTGGGACGTGGCCTCAGCACGGCCGGACAAGTGGTGCGTTGGTGCATGCCCTGATCCGAACCTGGGCCGCCAATAGCGGAGCACGCGCACTCAACCACTAAGCCACGGGGTGGCCCCTCTACATAGATTTTTATCCCACTAGACTGTGACCTTCTAGACCAGGGTGTCTCACACTGTAATGTGCAAACTAATCCCCCGGGGACCTGGTAAAAGTGCAGATTCTCATCAGTAGAGCTGTGATGGGACCCGAGAGTCTGCATTTTTGATAAGCTCCCAGGTCTTGCCATCTCACGTGAAACAGCAAGAGTCTAGCAGTGATTCTCAAACCTGGGGATAAATAAGACTCCTGCAGGGCTTGTTCAAACACAGCTTCTTGCATCCGACACCCCTCCCAGGTACTCTAATTCAGCAGGTCTGGGGGTGGGGCCAGAGAATCTTTATTTCCAAAAAGCTCCCAGGTAATGCTGATGCTGCCGGCCCACGGACGTCACCTTGAGTTAACTCTAGTTTCGGAAAGCTCTGACAGGTCCTGTGCGAAAACAGCTACTTGAGAAACAAGCCACTTTTGAGAAAACTTAGCCACTTACCTAACTCATCTTCGAGGCTCCTTAACTGCCGAGTGCTTGACAGAGTGAGAAGGCACTTAATAGATATGTGATGGATGAGGTAGAAGAGAACAAATACCCGCATGAGCCAACCATGTCACTTAGAGCTTTCAGACAGGAAAGACGAGGTAACAGGTACATACACGTAACTGTCTCTGTCTGCAGCTTAGATATGAGGTACAAAGAATCATTACCAACCTCTTCATTCCTCCCTGCCTTCCCACCAGGCTCAACCCACAAGGAGCCACTACTCAGTTCTTGTGGGCACTTAGTTCACCGACCTGCCATGGTCTGGTTGGCAGCCCTTGGCACTAGATTTTGCAGACCCAATGGCCATGCTCTGGGCTCTCCACCAGCAGGAACGCTCACCAGAGACGTGTGTATTTGGGCAGGTAGGAGGGGGAGAGGGAGGAGGCTAGGAGGGGATAATGTGCTCTTCCTTCATTCGTAGGCTCTCAAATCCTGCCCCCCAGTGTCTGCTTCCTGCTACGCATCTCCCTGTGGCAGGAGAACTGCAAAGAGATTTCCTCCATGTCACTGTCACTCAGGCTCTGCTCGGGCAGTCCAGGTGGAGGGGCTGTCCCTCGGTCTCACTGCAAAGAATCTACCTCTCAAGTGGCTGTTTTCTCACAGGACCTGTCAGAGCTTCCTTGTTCCTATAAATTGACCAAAGGAAGAGACAGCCCTTTTTTCTGTTAGATGTCATCATGCCTGGATGTGACACCGGCAGCCCACTTACAGCCATGAGCAGAACTGGTCTGAGTATATCAAAGAGATGGGAAGAACCTTGGGTCTTGGATGAAGCTGTAGAGCTGCTAAATTAACCAACTCTGTAGCCCCCCATTTCTGAATCTCTTGTGATTTATCCGTTCAGATATGCTTATTGAGCACCAAATACATGCGGATACAGCCATGAACAGAATAGTGAACATTCCAGCCCTCAGGAAGCTGGCATTACATTGGAGGAAAACAATGGACACTAAGTAAATACATATGTCAGGTGGTGATAAGTAAATCATGGAGGAGTCACAGATCTCTGGGGCTGGGGGAGGAGTTTCGATTTCAGATAAGATGGTTAGAGAACACCTCACTGAGAAAGTCACGTACATGTATAGAAATGAAGGAGGTGAGGGAGAAAGCTCTGCAGGCATCTGTGGGAGGGGCATCCAGGCAGAGGGAACAGCAAGTGCAAAGGCCCTGAGGTAGAAATGCACCTGGTGCGTTCAAGGACTTTCTGGGGGCCAGTTTGGCTGGAGCAGAGTGAACAAAGGGGAGAGTTACAAGAGATGAGGTCAGAGAGGGAGTGAGGACCAGGTAGTGTGCCCCCTTGTAGGCCAGTGTAAGGACTTGGAAGAGAAGATCCTGGCCTGGAATAACTCTTGAAGAATCACTCTGGCTGCTACGTTGGAAAGAGACTCTGCTCTTACATGGTTCTGACCAAAGTGGGAACAGTGGATGTAACGAGCAGGGATTGGATTCTTTAAATGTTTTGAAGCTAGAGCCAAGAGATTTTGCAGAAACATTACATGTCAGGTTTGAGAGTGGAGTCAAGTATAACTCCAAGGTTTTGGTAGGATCAATGGAAAGGATGGAGTTGCCATTTACCTCTAGGTGAGGATGACAGTGGCAGCAAAGAGTTTGGGGGAGATTTCAGGAGTTCAATTTGAGATGCCTTTTAGAAACCCAAGTGGAGACATTGAGCAGAGTGTTGGATATGAGCCTCGATTTGGAGTGGGGGATGCTGGACATGTACCATTGGGCATCTTCAGCATGAGTATGACATTTGGAGCCATGAGAGAGGATGGTGCCACCAAAGGCATGGGTGTAGATAGGAAAGAGAAAGTGTTCAAGGACTGTGTCCTGGAGCATGCCAAGTTTAAGAAATTGGAACACTGAGCAGAAACCAGCAGTGGGAACTGAGAAGGAGCTGCCAGCGAAATAAGAGAAAAACCAGGAGAGAAAACTTGTGTCCTACCCAAGTGAAGAAAGAGTATCAAGAAGAGGGAGAGACAATGGTGTCACATGTGCTGAGCAGTCAAGTTTAATGAGGCCTGAGAATTGACCATTGGATTTAGCCACAAGCAGGTCACTGGTGAGCTTGACAAGAGCAGTGGAGTGGCAGAGGCTGGAGCCTGAGAAGAGTGGGTTCCAGAAAGCATGGGCTGAGTGAAACCAGACACAAGTAAAGACAACTGTTTTGAGTAATTTTATTATAAAGAGTGCAGAAATGAGTCGGTAACTAGAGGTGGAAGTGGAATCAATGGACACTTTGTTTTCTGGTTTTTTTTTTTTTTTTTTTTTTTTTTTGTGAGGAAGATTAGCCCTGAGCTAACATCCATGCCAATCCTCCTCTTTTTGCTGAGGAATTCCGGATACTAAGTCTTTGTTGGTTGTATGCATTGCAAATTCTTTTCTCATTTTTTGCTTATTTGTTTAAGATAGGAGAAGTGAAGGCGTGTGCCTATGCTGATGGGAATAATCCAGGAGAGTGAGGAAAACTGATGATCATGACTAGAGGAAATGACTAGAGCAACATTCTTGAGTGAGTGAGAGAGGATGGGATCCCGTGCAAAGGGGAAGGGATGGACGTAGAGTGGAGCATGGAGAATCCATCCATGTAAAGGAGGGAGGCAGAATAGAAGGGCCCCGGGAAAGTGTGGATGGGAAGACGGGAAGTGGGACATGTAAAAAGTCTCCCCCGATGGCTTCTATTTTCTTGGTGACATAGGAAACAAGGTCATCAGCTAAGAATGAGGATGACAGAGGTTGTGTTGGAGGTTCCAAGAAAAGGCAGATGTGTAAAATAATGTCTAAGAGAGGAAAATGCAGTTGATGGGCATCAAGGACCCTTTGAATATGGCCATCACAAATTCAGAGTGGTCCCAGTGAGTGCCACATGCAGCCACAGCTGCATTCAACTTCATGGGTACAGCTGGAGAGCTGGATCTAACCAGGACTGGAATTCTGCCAGGTGGACACAACAAGATCAGAAAAGAGTAAAGGAGTTGAGGATGCATGTAAGGGAGGGACTGTAATGATGGCTCATGGACTTTAGGATGAACAGAAAGTAAGGGCGTGAGGAGGCTGAGGGTCCATGGAAAACTGAAATAGCAATGGTCCCACTGGGGTCAAAAGACCACTGGAGATGAGGTGCTAGAGGGAGTGAGCAGTAGAGGCAGAGGTGGGGTCAGAGGTTGGGAGGCTGGGAGCTGAGATACGGAGGCTACAGATGTTGGTGATGGTAAGATCCAGAGGTTAGGATCACGGGAGTGAGTGACTGAGAAATGGGGAAGACAAGACCAATAGAGGAGAGGAGTTCCAGGAACCCCTTGGAGAAGGAATGAGAGGAAACTTGTGTTTTTGGTAGAGGGTCAGTATGGCTTCAAAGTCCTTCCAACTTGGTACACACAGCCCTTTACAATGTGACTTTATTGCTCCTCCTAAAAGGGTAGATACTATTTCCTGACTCCTTGATTGTAGCTTGCTTTGAGTGATAAAAAGTGGCAGAAGTAACATTATGTGACTTCTGAGGCTATGCCTTAAGATGCTTTGCAGTTTCTGCTTGTGTCTGAGACCGTCACACAGTGAAGGCAGTCTGGCCAATTGGAGGATGAGAGACCATGTGGAGAAGTGAGGCACTCCCGGGGACAACAAGCACCAACTGCCAGACATGGGAATGAAGCCATCTTGGACCTTCCATCTAACCCATAGAATCACAGAATAATGTCATTGTGATTTTAAGCCCCTTAGTTTTAAGGTTGTTAGGTTGCAAACACAAACAGAGACATTGTGGGTAGTGAAATCACCAAGAATTATTACAAGAGAATGTTAGAGATTAATACCAAACCAGAGCTAATATCTAGGCTTGTGAGAAAGTAATTTTCTATTCTTTTTAATTTTTTGAGGTATTTTGAGTGAATTGCCTTGTTATTTGTTGTCAAAAGTGTCCAACCTAAACAATTAGTTATAAACAAAGGAATCTCCACTACTCCCAAAGCTTAAACTTTCAGAGAGCATCTGCCTCTCATGGATGACTTCCTGCTGTGGAGGGTGGGAAGGATTCAGGGAGGACGTGGCCTCTTGGATGCTCCAGGCCAGATGAGAGGGATCTGACATGGATGTGCCCAACACCCTTTTTCACTTTGGGACATGACCCAGCACAAGGCGGCAGCTGAGCAGAACTGAGAGAGGGACAAAGGACTATTGGACCCTTTTCCTTTAGCTTGTCGGGTTGAGATTTGTAAAATGCTGGAGGGTGAGAGAGAGCCTAGGGGATGCCAGGCAGGCAAGGAGAGGCAGAGATTAAGGAGTAAAAATGACCACCTGGGTAGAAGAAATATGGAGTGGGCAGGGGTGGTGAAAAGAGAGGCTGGGAAGGAAATTAAACGAGGTGGGAGGAATGGGGTTGGAGGGTGAGATGGGGATAAAATGAGGTGGTATGGGGTGGGCTACTGCCTAGGAATCGCTGGTGTCTCCCAGAGCCCCTCTTGTCCATCTGTGGGACACTCACCAATTGGGCTTTTGTGTCCTGAAGAATGGCCTGGGATCAGAAGAAACCTTTTCTGCCATGTAGCCAGACAGTGTATCCCAGGATTAGGCAACAGAGAGATCTCTATGGCCATGATACCACTGTCCCCTCTCTTGGAAATTAACCTGCTGGTATAGCAGCTGAACCTGAAAAGTATGCCTCAATGACAACCAGGCTCCATGCGGTCAGGAAGCCCAGCCCTGCCCCATCTTGGTTACAGAAAACGTATGGTTTCTGGGATGTTGATGTTGAGACAGGAAAGGAGAAGCAGAAACAGGGCTGAGTCAGGATCCGATTTCGTAGATGAGACACAAAAAGGGATTCTGTGAGATGAAAGAGGAGGGGCCAGCAGGCCAGGCCACAGAGTTGACACTGGAGGGCATGTCGAAGTTAGGAGTCAGAGCCCTGGACAAAGCCAAGGTTAGAAGGTGTGCACCTTACTGATCCTTCTATCTGTTCCTACTGGATCGGGGGCTACGCCACTGCCTAAATGCTGGGTCCTGTGTGCTGGTGGAGAAGAATCTCCTGGGTATGATGTTCAGTGACAAAAGCAAGATGGAAAACAATGTGCATCATATGCCCCACCCATGTTTCAAAAATTAAAGGTTGTGTGTGTGTGTGTGCATGTGTGTGTGCATGTGTGCACACGCCTGTGCCATAGGGGACCTGGGTAAGGGTGTCGGGAGAGTGAGATGGAATAGGCCACTGAGCAGCCTCTTATTTAGGCTTCAAGCTTAAAGCAAAAGAAGTCTTCCCAGCTCACATCTGGTCCAGCCCAGCTCTCCTGGACAGAGATCACATGGGACTTTGGGCCAAAGGCCCAGTGAAAATCTAGATGCATGGTTCCAAACCTGAATGTGCATCAGAAGCATATGGAGGGCGTGTTAAAACACAGATTGCTGGGCCCCCTCCCAGAATGTCTAATTCAGTAGGTCTGGGATGGGAACCCAGAATTTGCATCACGAGCAAGTTCCCGGAGGTGCCAATGCTGTTGGTCCAGTGTCCTCACTTTGAGAACCTCTGCTCTAGAGGGGTCCCCTACCCCCACCCCAGGTGCATCCTTCCTCAGCCCAGGGTACTTCCCATGCCATGACAAACATTACTTCTTATTGTAATGACTTGCTTAATCATCTGTGATCCTCACTAAGCTGTGAGCTCTCAAAAAATGGCATCTGCCTCTCTTGGTCACCGCTATATCCCTAGCATCTAATGCAGCACCTGGCACATCGTGGGTACTCAATAAATATTTGTTAAGTGAACAAGTGTATGTGCCTGGCATGTCCTCTCTATGGTGTGGGTCCCACAGAAGTCTAGAGCACAGCTGGTAGGCCAGTCAAGGATTAGAGGTACTCACCACGTCTCTCACCTTAGACATGACCAAGGACGAGGCAGGCCTCACACGCCTCCATTCTCTGGAAACCGACCTGCCAGCAAAGTACTACAGAAAGCCAGGCACTTGCAGCCTTCCCATTTACTACTGCGGGGGCGGGGCTGAGAGGTGATCAATTTGGCTGCATCCCCTAGCCGGGCAGTGGCTGGGAGCTCA